CCTTCCTTCCTCCCTCCCTTCCTTCCTTTTCTTTCTTTCTTTTGACAGAGTCTGCTCTGTTGCCCAGGATGGAGTGCAGTGGTGTGATCTTAGCTCACTCTAACCTCCGCCTCCCAAATTCAAGAGATTCTCTTGCTTCAGCCTCCTGAGTAGCTGGGGTTATAGGCACGCACCACCACGCCCGTCTAATTTTTTGTATTTTTAGTAGAGACAGGGCTTCACCATGTTGGCCAGGCTGGTCTCAAACTCCTGACCTCAAGCGATCCACCTGCCTCGGCCTCCCAAAGTGCTGGGATTACAGGCATAAGCCACTGTGCCTGGCCTAGAGTGAACTAATTTCATAGTGGGTTGATGAGCATGAACACGTGGGGCGGGTCCACAGCGAGGAGCAGCACCAGCACCTGTGTGCATACTGTGGCACTGGGCGGTGCACTTTACCTGAACCGTCCTTCCAGGCCTCCCAAGCCATCTGCAGGAAGTGCTGTTTCCATCCCAGGCCTGAGATGGTAGAAAGGCTGGGAACTCCAGGGACACAGGGCTGGCAGGTGGGTGAGGTGGGCGGATACCCCCGGCAGTCGGGCTCCGGAGCCGGCGTTCTTGACCAGGCCGCTGGCAGTGAGCCAGCCGGGTTCCGTTTCCATCAACCAGCCGTATCCGGGGCGTATTCCTTCCAGGTGCGGCCTCCCGGGAAGGGAGTTCCCAGCCTGGAGGTGACGAGGCCGGTGCGCCCACCAGGGGTCGCTGCAGGCAAGAGCTGGAGGCCTGAAGGCAGGTGGGTACCAGGCAGTCGGCCCGGCGCACTCAGATACACAGCTTTAGGTGTGCGAGATCGGGACGATGTTTTCATAAAAGTAAAGCAGACATCTCCGACCCACGAGGAAACTGGTGTGCGTCCAGCCTGGGTTTAGGCTCCACCTCTGAGCTCCACCTTCACTCAGCTGCCAAATAGGGTCAGTGACTGTGGCCCTGTCTCCCTCATGGGGCTGCCAGGGGATCCTATGAAGTGACAATGCTTAGAGACCGGGCCCGGCGCGGTGGCTCACGCCTGTAATCCCAGCACTTTAGGAGACCGAGGCGGGCGGATCATTTGAGGTCGGGAGTTCAAGACCTGCCTGGGCAACATGGTGAAATCCTGTCTCTACTAACAATGCAATAATTAGCTGGGCGCAGTGGCGAGTGCCTGTAATCCCAGCTACTGGGGAGGCTGAGGCTAGAGAATCACTTGAACCCGGGAAGCAGAGTTTGTAGTGAGCCAAGACGAAGTCACACTGCACTCCAGCCCGGGCAACAGGGCAAGACTCTGTCTCAGGAAAAGAAAAAAAAAAAGGTTTCAGACCATGGAGTAAGTTGGTGCCCGAGATGATCCCATTGGCCAGACTACGTGCCCGTGGGGGTGCCACCATCAGTGATGAAGGGGCAGGGGGATCAACCCCTACTTTTCCGAGGGGCTTTCCCATGTAGGAAATACAAGCTGAATCTTCCTGAAATTCAACCACAGATCCCACACTCCCTTAAGGTACACTCAGGTCCTATGACGGCCCGCTGCAGACACTGGCAATGTCAGGCCTGGAGCATACTCGTCTAGGATGAGTCTGGGGTCGGGCTCTGTGGTGTTATTTTATTATTTATTTATGTATGTATCTATTTTTAGAGTCAGGGTCTCACAATGTTGCCCAGGCTGGTCTTGAATTCCTGAGCTCAAGCAGTCAGCCCACTATGGCCTCCCAAAGTGCTGGGATTAAAGGCATGAACCACTGCGCCTGGCCTTCTGTGGTTGTAAATGAAACTTTTATAGGCTTTTTTTTTTAATTAAGAGATCATTCGCATGCCATAAAATTCACTCTTTTAAATTGTCCAATTTGGTTGTTTTTAGTACATTCACAAATTTGTGTAACCCCACCAGCAGTTCCAGAACTCTTCATCAATGACCTCAAAAAGAAACCTGTACCAATTTTCCCTTCCCTTAGCCCCTGGCAACCACTGATCTACTTAATGTTTTCTTTATATTTTTCTTTTCTTCATATTGTGTCTTTTCATTGCCACTTGTGTTCTATGGGGATTAAAAAAAAATAGATGGCTTACTTCACGTGAGCAGGAAGGGACCTGTGTCTCAGTGTAGCAGACAGGGTTATAGGGACTCCTTGGGGTTAGAACGTGGGGTCCCACGCCTCAACCCTCTCTGATGAGCTGTGTGAGCACAGAGGAATGAGAACATCTTTCTGGCTTTTTGTCTTCTCATTCTGTTTCATTCTCATTCATGATGGTTAATAGTGATGATACTTGTCCCACTTACAGCAAGGAAATCCCACCTCTCTTAGACAACAGAACCCCAAATCTGCCTGTGCTTGATGCTGGGAGGAGAAGCTTCCAGGGGCAGCAGGATCAAGGAGCTGGCTCTGTCCTGCCTCTATTCTCACTGTCACCCCTCTCTGTTTCCCATGAGTGTGGCCCCCAGCAAGCTGGGCCTGTGTGCTGCTCCCATGGTGGGCATAGCCCCCTTACCCAGGACACCCCCAGCCCAGCGGGGAGGGGCTGACATCCTCACAAAGACTTACTACATATTCCAGGAGGTGACGGGGAAAAGAGAGCACGAAACACAGCATTTAGTTCCCTGAAGTATTAGAAGCAGTTTGCAGAGATGCACTCAATATGACAAGATTAAAAAACATACATGAGGAAATCAGAGAGGAATAAAAATGAGGGGGAGAAAAAAAATAAGATGAAGCCAGGGAGAGATTGGTATGGAAACTCCAGATGGTGATTTAAGGAGCACTTATGCAGCACACTTACCACGATCCGAGCGCCGTACGAGTATCATGAACTCATTTGATCCTCGGGACACTTTGGAGGCAGGGGCTGTGATTATCCTCATTTTGCAGTCAGGAAAGCCCAGGCGCAGAATTGCTGCTTGTTCAGGGGCTCCCGGCTTCTGGGTGGCAGAGCTGGGTCTCAAGCCTGGGCAGCCTGGTGTGCAAGTTCATGCCACCCCTGCTGCTTTTTCATGATATCACATAAATGCACTGGGGGTGGGCAGGGGAGCCCGGGCATGAGCAGAATAAGCAGGGAATATCTTTGACATCTCGGATCTTGTCTCAGAAATCATAGGTATTTTGCATTTTTCCCCATGATGTTTCTATATTTGTGCAAGTGTGTTGAAAATTAGATGTGTGTGTGTGTGTGTGTGTGTGTGTGTGTGTACGTGCGCACGCGCACTCTGTCTGAGCTTCAGCTGAGGCCCTAAGGGGTTCTGAAGAAAGCACAAGGTGTCAGATAGCCCATCTCTGCAGGGGCGGCTGCGAGCTGCTCTGCCAGCGTGGGCCCTCACCCATTCCAGGAGAATCAGGCAGCGTGAGAGTTTGGGGAACTTGAGGAGGCTGGTGCAGGGACTGCTCCGGAGAGGCTGCCTGTGTACTAGTCTCTCCCAAGTCTGGGGGAGGCATTTGAGGGAACCGTCTGGATAGCTGAGTGTGTCTTTGGAATTGGAGGGACCCAGGGACTGGTGTCTGAGCCCCTAGAAAATTCTCGTGATGAGAGAATGTTGGCTAAAAGGCTGGTGTTGGGCGCATCCTTCATTCATTCATATGACCCTCAACAAACATTTACTGACTGTTTGAATGTGTGTTCTAGGTGCCAGGCACGCACCTGTGGACAACACAAATCACCCTGTGACCTGCATTCTAGTAATGAGGGTAACAGCTTCAGAGGGACCCTGCCCACGAGCTGGGGGCAAGGGGCCTGCAGGCTAGGGCTGGGCTGCAGAGGGCTCTGATTGGGCAGCTGGAAGAGGCCCCTGGTCTGTGGCCAGATCCCTGCACTCAGCATGCCCCAAGATGGTGGACATTTGACACCATTTATTGGTTACCTACTGTGTACATGTAGTATCGTAATCTGCATTGTCCCTGACGGTAGTGATTATAGCTCCACTTTGCAGAGGAAAGCAGTGGCTCAGAAAGTGCCGGGGGTGGGCGCTGAGTTCCACACAGGGGTTCTTTTCCTCAGAGCTGGCCACTGTCTTGCCACTCTGATGAGCTTCTCTTGGTTTTCAAAAATGGAGCAGGCAGGAATGAAACCCCTCTGAGCTCCATCTTTGCTGCGATCTGACACATGTCATGAGTTATGTCAGTTTTCCAGAGGCTCCAGGCAAGAACAGTTTCTCATGGGGACTTCTTGGGCTTATCAAGGAGTCAGATCTGGGTGGCAGCAAGGGAGCAGCTCTAAGCATGTTCTGGAATCATTCACAGACTTTTATGTTCTGAGCTGTTCCCTAGAGTGTAACCAAATGCTAACACCATTGAGATTGTTTTCTTAATGATTACTTTGGCTTGTATTAGGAAACAGCTTAATTAGCATTAATTAGAGTGGTCTCTCTACAGGACACATCTTCCTCAAAGCAAGGTCTCCTTACTTTACTCATTTGCAGGGGGAGACCTGTCACTGACTGAGGTTAAGGGTGTGGCCCAAGGACACAGGAGGTGACAAATTGGGGAACAAAGCTGTCAGTCTGTTGAGGCTGCTGTAAAAAAATACCATAGATCGGGTGGCTTAAAAACAGCAAAATTTTTTCCTCATCGTCTGGAGGCTGGGAAATCCAAAGATGAGAGTGCCTGCAGATCTGGTGTCTGGTGAGGACCCATTTCTCGGTTCGCTGATGGTCTTCTCAATGCATTCTCACACAGTGGAAGCCGCAAGGCAGCTCTCCAGGGCTTCTTGTGTAAGGGCATGGATCCCGTCAACCACTTCTCAAAGGCCCCACCTCCTAATACCATCACACTGGGCATTAGGATCTAATGCATGGATTCTGGGGAGACACAACACTCAGTCTATGGCAAAAGCTGTAATCACAACCCCTAGTCCTGTCTTTTCTACATTTGACTGTGCTGCAGAGAGCAGGACTTACTATCAGAGAAACTTCCTGTTTCTTGCTCTGCTGCCGGAGCGGCCTGTGTTGACGTTCCCCTTGCCCAGGCCAGCCTTGCCCATTGGAGGAGTCGCACAGGGCCACCCCAGGGTTCAGTAGGAAGTGACTTCATTCAGTGGCAGCCCTGACCATACAGCATTTTCCAGAGCATTAATGAGAAAGGACAAAGGAGCTGAAGTTTAAGAAGAAAAACCCACAAAATCCAGGGTTTCTTTCAGGTGGTTGTTGTTTCTAAAAACCTGAATTTTTATAATGCTGGATATGTAATTACAGTATTCTATAGATTTGTGCTTGAATAAAGGCTGCAATGTCAACAGTCAGTCAACAAATATTCCCTGAGCCCCTCCTGTGTGCCGGGCACTGTCCTTGGTGCTGGAGATGCTAGGCAATGCCCGGTCCTGGTCTCAGGGTTTAACGCCGCCGAGGGTGGAGTGGCGAGCAGACACAGAACAGACAGCCATGACAATTCTAGGTACAGGTGCATTTGGGGAGGATCACAAAAGGAGGCCACGTGACAGCGGGTGACCAGGAGGGGACCTTAGCCAATAGTTGGTCAGGAAACACCTCCCCTACGGGAGAGGCAGAGCAGCAGCTCACATGACGAGGTGGTGGCAGCAGATGCCCTGGGGGATTCAAGCCATGTCCAAAGAGTGGCCCAACAAAGGCCCTGGGCAGGGATGCTGTTGGGCTCCGAGCCTAGTGAGCAAGGGGAGACGCAGGTCCAAGGTGAGTGTGGGAAGGGGCGGGGCAGAGCACCATGGGGCAGAGCGTGGATTTCGCCCTGGCTGAGAAGTCTCTGACGGGTTTTAAGCAGGGTGCTGTGGGAGGAGACTGTAGATGGATGGGTGTGGAGGCAGTGAGATGGCTTAGGGGTTGCTGTGTTGCAGAAAAATCAGGAGGGCAAGAGACACCTTGGGGTAAAGCAGGAGAATCACAGGCAGCTTTCCCCCCCCCCCCTTTTAATTTCTATTTCTCTTTTCTTTCTTTAATATCCCACCTTAGCTTGACTGGGACAGATGAGTGTTATGGTGAATTAAATTAGGGCCATGTGTTAATCAGGGACTAGGCAGGAGATAGAAACCACACTGATACTTTGAACAGGGAAAATGTAGTAAAAAGACTCATCAACAAGCGCAAAGCGTCTGGCGTTACGGGTTGAACTGTGTCGCTGAGAAAGATGTGTTTAAGTCCTAACCCCTGGTACCTGTGAATGTGACCTTATTTGAAAACAGGATCTTTGCAGATGTAATCCAAGGCAGGCTTTGTCCAACATGACCAGTGTCCTTGTAGGAAGAGGGATATTTGGATGCAGACACACAGGGAGAAGATGGCCATGGAACAGCAGACGGAGAGAGTGGAGTGAAGCCACTGCAAGCCACCAGCGGAAGAGGCCAGGAGGGTCCCCGGAGTCTTAGAGGGAGCTGGGCACTGCTGACACCTTGACTTTGAACTTCTGTCCTCCAGAACTGTGACGAACACGTTCCTGCTATTTTTAAACCACTGTTTTTCAGCACTTTTGTTACAGCGGCCCCAGGACACTACTAATGGGTGAAATCTGATGACTGAGTACTACAAAGGGTAGAAGAGGACTCCAGGGGTCCCAGGAACAGCAGCTGAAGGAAGCTGCTGCTACCCTTAGGGTTGAGAGGGAGTCAACAATGAAGGAACTAAGACTTCCACCCGCTTGAGCTGAGCCCCAGACCTGTAGGAGAGGACGCAGCTGCTGCAGGAACACCAAAACCTGCTGCTGGTGGGGAGATTTGCCAGCGTAGGAGCCAGAGCAGTCTAGATGACCAGCCCAGATGGGGGCCTGAAAACGAGAGAGAGAGAGAGAGAGAGAGAGAGCAGGCCAGAGCCACTCCACAAAAGTGGCTCGTAGGGTGTAGGGTGTAGGGTGTGAAGTTTGCTGGAGAACGAGTGCCATCGCTGCTCCTGCACACCTATCCCACTGGCAGCTGTGCCACAGGAGGAAATGCCATGTTCTGGCAGCAGGAAGAGAAGCCCCTTCCTCTGCTGTCCTTGTGGCATCCCTCCAGAGCCCCCTATGACAAAGCCTAACATTGCCCCAGCTGACAAAGGGGAGATGTTTACAGGGCCCAGCTCCGGTATTTCAAAGCAGAGCAAAGAAGGATGACTTTAGAACCGGGACATAATAACCTGATGACTGGCACAGGTGGTAGCAAGAAAGGGGTGGGGGAACTCGTGTGAGCAAACAAAGGCTTAGGCCTCCCCTGCAGTTGTTCTGTGACATTACAAAACTTCATTTAAAAAATTGTGATAGGGAAGACTCCTTGCCCTGATTAATCACATAAACTGGGTTTCCCTATTGTCACCTGTCTTCTTAATCCACATAGTGATCATCTTCCCGGCTGCACAGGTGAGTCAATAAAAGCATGGAGATGTTGACTAATAAGCTTAAAGTCATGCCATTAATCAGTGGTGTCCATCTGCCTCCCAGGCCTGTGTCTTTTCTATTCATCTTGCTGTCTCTCTCATGGGGAACTGGAATGCTTGGAGGATTCTGCTCCTGAGAGCTCAGTGCTGGCTCTCACTTTGTCCTTCTTTGATGACTTGGCCCCTGTGCTGGCTGTGTGGGTCCTGGCCACAGGAGACACTGACCTCTACACCCCCAGGCCCAGGGTATACACTGGCTTGAGCACAGGCCCCCGGACCATGAATGCCCTGCCCAGCTCAGGTATAGGAACAGCACACTGGAGCCCGGGCACACAAGGCAGTCAAAAGCTCAAAAGCAGATCTCACCTCTGGGAGGGTGCAGTCAGGTTTTCAATGGATTCTGTTGATTACCACTTACAAGGATTTCTACCCCTTAAACATGGAAGGATTTCTCCTTTGATGGGAAGTGAGCTGGAGGCATTCCTGAGCACCCCTTCCTGCAGAACCCCTTCTCCTTTGGCTTCCTGATAGCAGGCTAAGGAAGTATCTGGCAGATGCATAGTCAAGCTTGCCCAATGTGGACAGGATTCAGCCAAGTGCCAGCTTGGATCAAGTGTCCCGTGCCCTGGGCAGGAATAAATAGGATCTTCTTAGAGGAACCAGAACTCTCTGGCAAAAGCCCATGAGTGTTGTAGGTCAGCTCCAGTATTTGAGGTTACAATCATGCATCCTCTGGGGAACTTACTTCTCTTGTCAGCACTAGGGCGAAAGGGGGTTGGGTTTCTCTGGGGGAGCTTTAAGGATCCTTTCAGATTCTGTATTCATCAGTTCCTGTGTTTGTCAATATCTACTGAACCTAATGAATGCTGGGTATTGTAGTAAGGTCTTCCATGAGTTATTTTAGTTATTTATTTATTTATTTTTCAAGACAACGTCC